AATTCACACAGAACTCCACTACTGGAAACAGATTCCAGTACCAAGTAGTGAATTGACTGACTCTCGTACAATCAATTCACTCCTATCGATTACAGAAGCTCTAACGACCTAATCATATTCTATCTATCACATGTTGAAGCAGAAATCAAGAGAAGTTGATTAGGATTCAATTGACTCAATAAACACACTTCAATCGATTAAACCATTCAATATATCATCCCAAAATTCATTAAAAGCAAGATTCCTAACACATGGAACTAGGGTTCTTCATACCCAATTGAGATAATGGTCTACTCCATAGAGAGAGAGAGGAAAACAGAAATCAAAGTAGTCATGCTCATAAAGATGAGAATAATTTGCTCTGGGATGTCAATCTTCACTCCTAAAGACGCAATTTGGGCTTCAATGGTGAGAAATCCAGTCCAAATAGGTCTTAGGGTTTGTTCTTCGTCACTTTCTCTCTCTAAACTCGGTTTTTGCTCCAAAAAGTCAAATCCCCTTCCCTTGGCTCGAACCTGCCTATTTACCCGGATACTGGGTGAAATATGGGCAAGAGCACGGTCGTGCTTCTCCTTCACCCTTATTTTGCCCAAAACGCGCGTTTCGCTTAAGTTGAGAAGGAGAAATTCACGGTCGCGTTTGGGAAAAATACTGGCAGTATTTTGAAAAGCATCAGTTGTATTTTGTAAAGCACGATCGTGCTTTAGTCCTCACCTGCCCGTAATTTGCCTTCCTTTAGAAATCTTCAAGGGCTAGCCTCGTCCATACAAATACGAGCTGGATGCAGAAATACGGTCGTGCTTTTGGGAATCTTGACAATGTTTTTTACCTGAGACATCACCATGATCGGCCGAATAAATACCGGCAGGCATCACGAGAAGCACGGTTGTGCTTTTGCAGGGGATGACGGTATTTTGTCTCCAAAACTGCCAAATGATTACCAAATGACCTGAAACTTGCACCTATGCATTCTTCTACCTGCTAGGACCTAAATGTGACAAAATAAAACAACCTAGCGTAAAATAGGCCAAGAAACCACAAATTCCAGCCAGAACAGTTAAAGAACACGAGTGCAAACATGCGCAAATACGACGATATCAGTATGCCAACAAAGTGTTCGTCAAATTCCCCAATCAATTAACATACTAATTCTTCGATTCTTTGCTCTACATTTCAACTTGTATAGTCAACATATAACCTTTCATGCATGGACTTGGCTTATTTATGGAGAATGACAGTCGTTTAGTTGAATTTATCCATTACCTCATGTTCTATCAACTATGGTCTCTCTTCGAATATATAACTACAATTAAGTGTGGTGGTACATAGATGGTGGTCAAGAATGTTTTACAAAGTTCAAATTTAGATATGTGAGTGGATAAATGGTTCTTGTGTACCTTTTACAATGCTTCTTTTGTGTAGGGAACCGAACAAGCATAAGGGTATGCTCCAAGGGGAGAGTTCCCAACTTTGGGAGAGGACCAACCCTCCTAGAACCCATCAATATTCAAGGAAGAAAAGGAGTAAAACTAAGCAAAAGGAAGTGATATTGGAAGAAGAAGAACCACAACCACATCCAGCACCACCTTCGGAGCACCCTAATGAAGAACAAAAAGACGATCACCAATGACCAAGGTAGCAATGGAGCACATAACCCATGCATTCCTAGATTCAACCGCTTTGTAGTTCACCACCAAGATATCATGGCTCCAAGATCTTCCCCTCGACGAGATTAGGTCAGTGGATTGGATTAGGAGGGGGTTAGTTGCATGCCCATTGAGCTAGCTCTTGTATTAGTGATTCCCTCACTTCATTCCCCATAAACCGGCAATTCTATCCTTTTTCATGACATACATAGTAACTAGGGCGAGGTTGGAGTCCCAGGTACCTGCTTTCTCATTTATGCTTTCATGACCATTACTTACCAACTGTTCTGCAACCAAAACCTGATTCGCTAGATAACAACTGAGTGAGAAGTAGATTAGAATATCGATGACCCGTGGAATACGACCTTGGTCATCCATGTTCTAGCAACGCCATTTTGAGTTATTCTTGGCTCAAGATGGGGTAGTTAGTTTACGCCCCGTGCATTTAAGATGAGCCTAGGATGGAGTGCCAATTTTCTATTCTTCGACGTGTCACAGAGTCTATGTTTGAAAAGTGTTTGGATGATAGGTTGCTTGTTTGAAAATCTTGACTACAAGGTGTAGATCTGTCAAAATTTTCTTGGTTATGTGCTTTCTCCCAACTTAACATTTTTCAATCAAATAAAGAGGGTTGTTGCTCGTTCTTAAAAGACGGTTATGTGCCCCTCCCAACGGACCATGGTATAGGTAAGTGGAAAGAGTCGTAAAAGAGACTCCCCGACTTGCCCGGATTGAGGAAATAACAAAATTTTCAAAGTTGCTACAACCTCGAAAAAAAATTTACAAAAAGAGAATAACGGTTGAGGAGAAAGTAAATAATAGAATCATTGGAGCATTCAATCATCTTGCTTACACCTATGAGTTGTGATATTGCATCTTGCACCAATCTTTGGTCACTCAAGAACATGTTATTTGTAACTTTCAGAATCGAGTCAAACATTAAAATGAAAAATGTGCATTTCTAGTGACTACTAACCCATCAAGAAACAAATTGATGGGAGAGGCTAGGGATGCTGAGTTAAATGTTTTAGTTACATGTTTGCTTGAAGCAAGAAAACGTCTAAGTGTGGAGGAATTTGATCACACCTGAAATGGTGTTATCTAGTCCTTAAGTCTAAAGTGTTTTCATGAAGATTCAAGCATCCAAAGACCATCCGAACCTTGATTTAGCCAAGATTTCCTTCCAATTTCATATTCATGATCTTCTAGGTGGCATTTCAAAATTTGAGTGCTATTATCAGAGAATTCAAGCATAAATGTGGAGAAACAGGTAGAAACGGAAAATCACACCAAATACACAAGATCACGGACGCTAAGATGCTAGGCCACGAACACATCACGGCTGGCACACATGATCGCGGTCGTGATCTTGAAGAGCCTGCAAACATTGAGTATATAAGGTCTTGCAGTCTACCTCACGGTCATTCACACTTGAGACCTTTATAAAGATCACGATCGTGAGTTCCTGCTCGTGACCGTGAATTATAGCCGCGTAATCTCACCGCCCGAGTATCCCACCACATCACTATTTCGACTTTGCAACCTAAAGAAGAAGATTGCACCCACAATCTCGCATTAGTCGCCCGCGAATTTCTTGTGTCGACGATTCCCTATAAATAGAGGGTTGCCCCTGCTATGCAAACAGACTTTGAGATTTCTAAATCTTAGAGAGGTTAGGTAGAGAAGTAGCTGTCTTGTTGAGGAAGAGGAGAAGAAGAGAAGAAGGAGTTTGGAGAAGAATTTTTCTGCACAAGAAGAATAACTTTTCTATGCATGGTTTTCCTCCCCCATTGATGGGGTAGTACTTTAAAGTACTTGGGGCTTTGTCCCCAAACTCTAACCTAGGACTTTGATGTGTAAATGATTGGGTATTGTTAATTTACGATGAAATTGTGTTTATCTAGTGTTATTCATGCTTCTATCTTGGTTTGAGTGTGTGAATGAATGTCTAGCATGATCTAGCCATAGACTCCCTTAGGTTATTTCTTACTTGTATGTGAATGAATCCCTCTTGCCTAAGACAGTTGATATAGAGTCCTAGTTGGTGGACGTGGTGATCATCCCTTGCCAACTAGGGGCTCACCTAGATAATGCTTGTGATACAGGTGCATGACCATTGACTGACTTGCAGAACTTGTGTGCGAACGGGTAGAATATGATTAGAGGATGTAAATCGTCATCCCTAGTCATGGAAGCCGGTTGTGGTGACTTTGGGTCACTGGACGTGGCTAGGAGAGGGGGGGGGGGAGACATGACCATTTGCACCGACCCCCAATTTAATGACCTCCACACCACAGTTGCCTAAATCCTTTACCTTCCATTTGCATGTCTACCTGTAGTTAAGGTGAGGGTAGCTCGCCTCGAGCATCGTTTTCTCTTATCTTGTCTCTAGTATTGGTAATTCCTTAGTACCATAAACAAACAATTGTTGATTGGATAACATTCCAACTTAATGGGAGTAGGTTAGGGTATCGTGATCCCTTGGGAATACGAATGATATTGCAAGTCTAATAGTGGTATATTTGACATTGTTAGGGTGCTCCATGAATGGACTGACAACAAAGGAGAAACTTCTCTATCGAAAGTGCTATCCAAACTCGACATGCCATGTTTTCCAGAATTTGAATCAATCTCTTTTCCACTGCCTCTTCGCGTACATCCATGCAGTTAGTTCTTGGAATAACGTTTCCCCTACCTCCCCATGCCTTCCCAATCCACATCTTTCTACGACTAGTTCTGCTCCCTAAAAGAAGCTATCCATCCTATAATTTTTATTCTTGCCTTCCTCTGTTAGAATATATGGAAGGTGGGGAATGAATTTGTTTTCATAAATACAATTGCTGTCTCTGAATGTCCGTATGGAAACCATTAGGGACTTCAATGATTGGATGTCGTGGAACATAGTCTCATACTATTCCATCGCCAAGGAATCACTCAATGGTTATTCATTGTGATGGAGCGTTTCTATATGCTTCCCTGCACGCGGCTTATTGTATTATGGTCATTAACCACCATCGACAAGTATATAATAGGCGAATGTCTTTTGTTCTATCCCAATTGAAGCCGAAACAATGAGTCTTTTGAAATATTTCAAATTAGCTGAGTATAATCCAAGATTCTTTGACTTTGTTTCTTTCGAAATGTTTCAAATTAGCTAAGTATAATCCAATATTCTTCGACTTTGACTTGGGGGGATGCATCTAACTAGGATCAATGATCTGAATCTTCAGAATGAAGCCTCAAACTAGGGACAAGCTGTGTGTCTAGAAAGTTTAATGTTATGACCGATTGGATCTCTCATTCTGTGACAAAATATTATCTTCCACGTAACTAGATCAATATTTTAGATCTAATTCCCTCTAAAAATTGTAGCCCTCGTTTACCTCACTGTAAAAAATAGATGTACAACACTCATCCAAGTAACTTGCTCATAAACAAAGTTGAAATAGTGCGAAAAGAAAATGCAAAACAACTGTTCTGACAAACACCAACTGTAAGTAATCAAACAAAAGACGGTGGAAGCAAAAAAAGAAAAGATACAGGCGAGAGTCACACCAGCAGTATGTGTTTCAACCCGTCCCCACTATCAAAGGGAGCCGGGACTTATCAGACACTACTTCCGAAATACTACACTCTCCCCGTACCACGGTTTAGGTAGTAGTAGTACACACATCCAGTAGAGGTGGGCATGGCCATGGGGAGTCCCCCAAGTTTAAACATCAAAGCACAGCTTCTTGCTTCGATTTAGTGATAGTACATTAGTTGCTGCTGAGTAGTCGCCACGCTTGGGAACCCACCATCATAGATAGCCTGGCTAGATCCAACAGCAGCGCCCATTCCCATGGCTGCTGCGTGTCTCATGGCATGCTGACCCTGAGCAGCATGATGCTGCATCAGGGCCGCTTGCATGCTCCCCATCTTGCTCAAAGCCATCTGCCGCTCGTAATTCATAAGGTCAGCTGCTGAAAACCCTGGAATTTGTGCAGCTGCTGGCGGGGGAAGAGGAGCAGAACTTGTCCCTGGTGGAGTGGGCTTGCTACCCCATGAACACTGCATCAAGCATCAACCAATTTGAAAAGTCAAACATATTAAGCATCAACAATGCTTGATATTTCTCTAACCGCCACATCAAAAGAGGAAGCATTGACAGCAACAGAACAACAAACCACCGGCATTTACAAACAAGACACGAGACCGAACTATTTTGTGATACCTTGATTGGTTTGCCACACAGGATCCGTGCATTTCCCATTTGGATTGCGAAAGCCGCTTCAGCATGTGTACTGTACCTCACAAACCCAAAACCCTTATCTCGCTGCACTCTCACATCTTCAATAGTACCAGCTCCAAGCAAATGGAAATGCCGATGAAGATCAACAGATGTAACCTGCAGACTACCTCGATCAGAAATACAAAACCACAAAAAAGAGAAAGTCGCGTATCATTTTCCTTTAACTCAATAATGAGACTAGAAACTGAGTAGCTGGCTTCATCCGGATTTGATAAGTGGAAACCATAAGGTTTGAGGACAAGAAACTCTAGCTATCTCATCCATAGAAGTACAAGAAAAAGAACTTCAAATCATCCTCAAGCCAAAGAGACTTCCATTAAGGTTGAAATGCTACCTAGCAGTTTAGCTACTCAACCAGACTGACCAATGCAGAGTTCAGAACATAGAACTATATTCATAGCCAAACATACCAAACAAATGGATTAGATGATTGAGCCATTGAGGTTTGCATCCCTGGTAAAGTAATTCATTTGAATATGCAACGAAATTCCGTCCGAGATCAAAGGACTTTATATGCAAATGGATAGAAAACGTAAGATAGAAATTGCATGAGTTAGAACCCTGCCTCTGGAGCAAGATTGCCGACATAAACAGTTGTATACTGAGGATTATTCTCTGGGGCATCATCACTTTTCTTGTCCTGTCCATCATCTGCGCAAACGAGCAAGCAGAGTAAGTTCCCACATTTCTTTTCATGCATTGCAACTACATAGGATGAAGAGTGCTTTTCAAATACTACAATTAGATTTGACAAAGCCTAAGGGCACGTTTGGTATAGGTTTGTTACTTTTGTGGCTGTAGAGAGTTGTGACAACAGAGTACAACCACAACCGGATGAAAATAGAAAACAAAAACTTCTTTTGTCGGCAATTCTGAAAAATCATGAAAGTTGACAACCAAAAACATAAGCGCGTTTAGTTACTTCTTTCGACTCCGTTTAGTATCAATATTGTGCGAGACTAAGACAAAAGTAGGAAATAATGTGAAGAATAGTATGGCATAATAGATATATGAGAAAATTGAGGGGGAAAAATAATACTCCAACAACTTATGTTAAATTGAGAGGTAGAAATAATGAAGAGGGAAAAAAGGTGAACATTGAGGAAAATTTAAAATTATTTAGTTATGAGAAACTTCAAAATTTACCAAGTTATGCAAAAAATGGAGATGGAGAATTATGTAGGAAGTGGATCCGGTGAGCTTTAATTATAGATTCTTTTCTATGAAATTATTCCAACAAGTGATAGGTTCCCACAAGAAATTATTATTGGAAACAGCAAAGAAGCAACTTAGAATAGTTTTAACTAGTTTCAACTTGGGTTGCCAACTCCCAACACATGGAAACAAAACTAAATAAGTTTTCAGTCTTTGTTTTCAGCAGTGAAAACAAGAAAACATAAACTAAAAATGATACAAAATCGGGCCTACAATTTTAAACCATTGCAAAAATACATCAGAAAGGAAGAATGCATCACAAAGACAAAAAAGTAGATTACAAAATTGGTAACTCAAAGCGTTTCAATTTCCATACTTTGCATCAACGTATGTTACCGTTCTAAAACAAATCTCGACAACTTGGCATGCAAACTTTGATGTTTTTGGGCCAGCGTCGTTTGTATGCTGGTTTACTGGCTTTTGGGCGGCTATCGATGCCCTTGCTGGCAGTGTGACGTGTTTCTTTCCTATTTGTTTCCGTGTTGTTTTGGGGTTGGGTCTTTCACTGCTTGTGAAGCCATTTCTTTTCTGTTATTTGTACTTTGTTTTGCCCTTACTTAGTTAATGCATTCACGATTATAAATAAATAAAAAATTGCCATGCAACCTAACCATAACATCATTGATCAGTAAGTACAAGAAATAACATAACCTAAGAGCTCACCGGAACCGTTTGTTAGCTCCACAACACTTTTGGCATCAGAGCTCTGTTTCTCATCATTAGAGTTGGCTCCTTTTGTGGCCCAATTACACCTGATTTGTCTGCTTCCGAGCCACTTACCTGTCATATGAACACAGTAACATAAGGTCCCAAATATGGTTACGTTGGCTAAAAGAACATTTTTTTCAGGAGAACTTTCACATGTTAAGTAAACAAAACAAAAGCATACTGCAAATCTACGAACAGTCAAATCCTATTATATACTTATATTTAATTACGATAACAGGAAAATTTAGTCATTCTTGGATTTCGTCATAGATAACAGATTGATATCTTCCTATAGCGTTAATGAAAGAGATGTACAAAACAATGTGAAGCAAGGTGGCGAAGCCCATGGCATAGCACCAACTGGTTCACATAAACCTGACCCAGAAACCATCTTCACAAAAGGTCTACCAATTTTATTGCAACCAACTAAAGCACCAATGAAGCATAAATAGCTCGGATGTAGGCAAGCAAAAGAGACCAAGAAATATAGAAATTATACCGTTCAAATCATTAATGGCACTTTGAGCATCCTGAGAAAGAACAGAAATGCACGAGCTAATTAGAACAACAAATTACATCCTAGAAACATGAATCCTTGTGGCATAAATAGGTGAAAGTAATAGATTCAACAAACCTGCTGGTTCCTGAAAGAAACAAAACCAAACCCCCTTGAACGGCCAGTCTTCTGGTCCCACATAACTCTTGCATCTCTGTTGAATAATATCAAGAATAAATAACACATGAATAAGCACCTAGTATGCCAGCTTGCTAAGAATAAACCGAAACAACAACAAGGAATAAGATACTTACGAGCAAGTAGGATAACTGGAGAAGTACGCATATAAGGTAGCATCTGTAACTTCCGGGCTAAGATCACCAACAAAAACATTGTGGTGACCTACAAGCAAATACAAGATATCACAAGACGGTCAGAAACAGTAAGCACAATGGCTTGCAAAGCCCAAATAATAGAAAGCTGGAAATGGTACAGAACCTGAAGTATCCTCTCGCTGACTGCTAGCATATGCCCAATTAACTTTGATAGGTTGTCCAAAGCTGCAGATTACAATCAAGAAACATGACATTGCAGAAATAGTAAGCCAGACAAACAAATTTCTCAGCCAGGATGCAACTTACACAGGCCTTCCATTAAGGGTCAAAATAGCATGCGCAGCAGATCTACGGTCGAAGTAGTCCACAAAGCCATAGGATGACTGCATAAAGTGCAGATAATAGAGCAAGTGCCATTGAATAAGCAGGTCGACAAAGTATATTTGAATTGCTCACTACAAATATGGACAACAGATCAAAAGGCAAATGCAAATAATTCTATTGCAGAGAAAGACCAACCTTCTCTTTCCTAATGAGCTTACATCCTTCAATAGGTCCTGTACTCGAAAAAACCTGCTGAAGAAGGGGTTCTGTAACCGAGGGATGGATGTTCCCCACGTACCTGAAGTTTCCCATCAAAGAAGCAACAACTTTACATTCAATCAAGATGACAGAAGCACACAAATATGGATAAAATTACTTTAAACACCTTTCCCACAGCTAAAACAATAGCAGATGCATGGTTACAAGGACCAAGACCAGATATCACTTTATAAGTGATGGCCCGAAATTCTCAACCAATATATGTTGGTTGGATATTCTTCCTCCAACACTAGGCCAGTGGTTAAATTCACTTGTCAATCAAATTTATGAGGCAGAACCCTCAAAAAAAGAAACTTTTATCTTCAGCGCTAGTACAAGTTCATCCAAATCAATCCGTACATTACAAGATCATCAAGAAGCAATGATAATGAGGAAACTGCAAAAGAAAACCAAAAAAAGGGAAAAGGCTACAACACTCACACACTGCGGCATGTACTTGAATCAAAGCCGGGAGGCAGATTTCCACTCAAGATAGGCTCTATCTGCAAAATTACAGAAAGTAAAAACAAAAGAAAAACAAAATAAAATGAAAAAATGTAACCCTAATTCTGAACAAAGAATCCTACGCTCAACCCTCCTTGTACTCGGGACAAACATATTAGAAACTGAAGAACTAAAAAGAGTTCGGGGGTCGCTGAAGCAAAACAAAAACTAGGGTACTGACTGATCAACGCCCAACCCAATGGACGAAAAGGCCGGTCAACTCCAGCCGTAATTGCCCATGGACAAAACTGTGGTTCAAATTTTGATTTTTTTTTAGAGAACCAGACTCACAAACAGCCCCGAAAGAGAAAAGAACACCGCCAACAAACTAATCAGTCAAAAATTCATACACACGATCCACCAGTCTCCATTCCGATGCACTAATTTCACATACTCTAAACAAGAAAAGTAGTATAAATCCGACGCATAAATCAGAATAATAGAAGACTGAATGACGAAAGAAAAGAAACGAACCTGCGGAGTAGCTAGAAAAGCAGGGTGGTATTGCATCATGCTCATCACCTGTTGTTGCTTAAGCCTCTGCTGTTGCTGCATCATGTCTCGCCTCTAAGGATTAGGGTTCCGTTCGCAGGCGACGAGAACCAGAAAGAAAGAAATACGAATCGAGAAAATTGAAATGGGAAATTTTACGGAAAAGGAAAAGAAAATGGAAAGGAAAGAAGAAAAAAAAAAGAGGGAAAAAAAGGTAAGAAAACCCTCGATAGAGAGGGGGAAACGAAAACGATCTAAAAGTGAGAAGAAAAAAGATCTCTAAAACTGTCCAACTTCAGAGGTAAGGAGACGGTCGGGCCTTTATATATCGTTGGCATATACGTAATAACGTAAATACGGTAGTAGAACGCACCGGACTAGGGGTGGGCAACCGGTTCGGTAAATCCGAACTGAACCGAAGTAAACCGGATTAATGCTATTCGGTTTGGCATTCAAAAGGAAAATATGGATAGTTTGGAAATCGGGGTTCTTTCAACAGAACGAAATTTCCGAAAAACCGAAATACTATAATTGCAAGCTCTAAATGGTGGATTTTTATGTTTGTAGTTGTTTTTAGACTTAAATATTTGAAATGTTTTATGACTTATGTCTTGAAAAGTTTGATTTTACCATTGATGATGCATATAATTGCATATTTATTATTTATATTAGGTGTGAAAAATAATTTTAAAGTGAGAAGATACAAGTAGCTTCACAAATTCGGTTCTGTGTGAAAAACCAAACCGAATTAAAATTTGGTTGAAACCGACCGAACTGAATTATAATTCGGTTCGAATTCGGTTTGAGATTTGAGAGAATTCGGGGATCCATTATTCATAATTTCGGTACGATCGAAATCGAACAGACCGAATGCTCACCCCTACACCGGAGGAAGAGGGCGGATCAGCCGATCAGGTGACTAAAAAGGGGTGTTTTGTCACTTAGAGTAATCCCTTCTAGCACTTAGATCTAGACATACTAATCTAATGGTTAAAAAATGGAAATAACTTTTTAGTTATTGATAAGGGTACTTTGGGTATTGTGAAAAATTACAAAGTATACAAATCAGATTTACAAACCATACAAACATAAATACAATACAAACTAGAACGACAAAACATACGAACTATACAAACAATACAAAACATACGAACTATACAAAATGGAAAAACAACCATGTTGACTTTGGAGACTACATTCCTTATATAGAGGGCATCGTCCCAAAGTCAACCCGGTTGTTTTTTAGACATACAAACATTACAAACATGTTGGACAAAAATGACCAACTAGACCGACAATCTATACAAAATGGAAAAACAACCTGGGTGACTTTGGAGGTTCCGTCTCTATATAGAGAAGTTCAATCCAAAAGTCAACCAGATTATCTTTTATACATTACAAACATGATCGACAAGCGCAAAAACCGAAGAAAAGTCCAGAGCCGTGACAATTGCCCCGTGACCGTAAAGCTCAGGCGTCCAGGAATCAGCAGCACTTCACGTCAGAGCTGCGAGTTCACGGTCGCCAGGAGAGTGAACGGGAACCTCAAACCGTGAACCACAAAGCGTTCGGAGGGGTTTCTGAGGTTACTGATGCCAAGGCAATTCACAGTCGCTACGACCGTGAACTAGACCCATGGACCGTAACCCCCAGAAGTGAAGCGGCGCATTTTGATTCAAGCATTGTTGTTCACGACCGTGAACTAGGGCCGTGAACTGGGCGCGATCTGAGTATAAATGGAGAGCTGAAAGGAGGAAGAAGGGAGTTTTTTCTAGGTTTTTAGTTTTGAGAATAAAAGACGGTTTCTAGTGAGAGATTAGAATTTCTTTTCCTATTCTAGGGAGAGAAAGTGTCATTCAAAAAAGGAAGAAGGAGATTGGGCTTGCCCTAAACTAAAGGAGTGAAGATTCTTACCTCTCAAGGGAGATTCACGCAAGGAGGAAGGAAGATTGTCATCTCTTCATGGTTCTTTCTCTCCTCTTTCTTGTTTTCCTTTGCCTAGCTATGAAATAGCCTACCTATTCACTTGGGTGTTGTGAACCTAGCTTGAAAATGTGAATGTGACTCATCCCGAATATCACAATAAATTCTCACCTAAGGCCCAAGTATAAACCTTAGATGGGTGCAAAATAGAGCAAGTATGTTTAAATATCAACCCGGTCCGACCCGTGTACCCCTATTTCAATTTGTTTGAAGCATTATCTAGCGAATTGGTTTCGCTTCCCCCTAACTACTACCACGGCACGTGGACTCGAATGGGACGTTATGGGCAAGGCAATCTTGAACCGCTGGTCGAGGACAACACTATCAATTGTCAAACCAAGGGATACATTATAGGCTACAAGAGTAGCCCTCTTGGTTAAGGCAATTAAGTGTTGACTTACCTTCTCCCTCAAATCGATCGTTGGACAGCTTAATCATGATTAACCTAGTTGCTTAATTCAAGATAGAGGTTTGCCTACATTAACCTAGGTAGGTGGCTTGTCAAGCACAAGGAATCCCAACTCAATTAAGCCTCTTTTAGAAAGGGGGGGTTTCCCCTCTAACCTAGGTTAGAATGGCCAATTAGATTGCTAAGCATACACATGCACAATCATCATGAAAAATACCTCAATCATTAAATTAAACAACACCCATAAACAATCATTCAAGTCACACTACAACTACATGGCAAATAGTTAGGGTTTCACAGCACCCAAGTGAAAAAGAGTACTACTCCATGATAGAAAGGGGAAGAACACAAGAGAAAGAGGTAGAAACCATCATGGTGATGCCTCCAATCTCCTCTAAGCTTGTGTTGATCTTCTCTTGGAGAGATTCTTCCCTATTCAGCACTTGGAGCAAACCCTAGCCTTCCTTCTTCATTCGTTCGTCTTTTCTTTCTCTAAAATCTGAAGAAGAAGACACTTTCTCACACTTGGGCTCCCTATTCTCTCTTTCTTTCAGCTCACATTATATACTAGGATCGGGCTCAGTTCACGGCCTCAGTTCACGGCCGTGAACTCTTCAACGCGTCCGTGAACACAGAGCGTTGTGTCAAAACTCACCGCCTCACCATCGGGAGTTCACGGTTTGCCCTCTACGTTCACGATCTTGTTGACCGTGAACTCCTCTTGCGCCAGTAACTGCAGATTTCTCCCTGGACGCCTCGCGGTTCACGGTTTTGGGCTTCAGTTCATGGCCATTGGAGACCGTGAACTCCAATGATAACTCGTGAACCTCGCCTGAATCACCCTCTTTGCCCCGTCTTGGCTTCTTTTTGTCTAACTTTCGACTCTGGGGTTAGTTTCACCTGTTGGATCCTGAAACACACTAAAATGCACAAAACCTAGCGTAAAACCAACCTTGTAGGAGTTCAAATGCTATAAACGCCCAAGGGAAAAAGGGATAAAATGTGTGAAAGTAAGCCGGAATCACTCCCCCACACTTAGACGTTTGCTTGTCCCCAAGCAAACCATTTCACACAAGGTAATATCTCAACCTATCAATATGCTTTGGGGACAAATCAAAGGGCACAAAGTGGCAAATCTCAAATGGCTATTGGCAATTAACGCGAGGACCGTTGCAAGCAATACCGACATCCACCCGAAACGACATTCGACGCTACTAGAAACGGCAAATGAAAAGTTCTCACCTTGTTCACGAATCAATGCAAGTTTCAACAAGATCACTTACCAACCACAACTAACCATGCATAGAGTTCAAATCCAAGGAACAAACGGATGGGCAACAAAGGTCCTCACCGGGATATGATATGACATGCAAAACAAGAATGAATCACTCACTCTCTTGACCAGTGGGGTCGGGACCTTTTTGGTGCAAAAAATGTGCACAATCATCAACTCTCGGTCCTATCATCTCAACACCACGGCGACAACCTCTAAATGCTAGAGTTCACGGAATGGTTGTCATCACTAGCTTGTCCGGAGGTCTTAGACACGGGTTCAAATGACTGGCGATTGTCTTGGACATGGATAAAAGGCTTTTTGGGTGGTGCCAAACACATCATGAGGTCGTACATCTTCACCTTAAAACCGAAAGTTCTATGGTTTCGACTACGAACCTTCCTTACAAACAACGACCACTAGCATCGGCCAAAACCTTGCTTCTCCCTTCCAAACTATCACCCATCATGAACTTCCCTTAAGCGGTCTTCCTCAATCTACTCTTGCTATCACACTTTGATTTGGTAGTGAAGGAGTTCTAAGACAATGTGGAGTTTTCAATGGCTTGTGTGCCAAGAAACCTCACCTAGAGCAAACTCTTTTATTCTTTTGTGGCACTCTCTACTTTATTTACCTCATTTTATTACCTCTTTTTTTGTTTCTCTTTTTTTTTTCTTTTTGAGGGGGGTACTAGAGAGTTAAACATTTAACACACTACCTTTGACGATCAATACTCTCTTTTTAAGAACTCACTCAAACACTACTCTTCCTTTCACTTTCGTTCCTAGCAAGAACCGCACACACTCCCCCTATGTAGAACCTCAATGGAGCTCAAAAGCGAGAGCTCCGGGACACAAGGACGACACATGTATAGACACGAAGAAAGGATGGGGGATCGTTCTTTCAACACAATTAAGCTCACAAGCAAAAAGCTCCTAACACGAGAGCGACCCCCAAAGTCACAAGGCTCAAAGGAGTTGACTAGTGGATAAACATTTCGGGACAATCAACATTTGGGCGTGGACTAATCCTATGCCTCCATCATACTCACTAGTGACAACTGTGATGTTACTCGCCATGGTAAGAGGGATCTAAGCACACAAGAAGAAAACAATCGGCTCAAAGCTCACATAGCTACCTAGTCAGCCAAACATCTATTCCAATTCACAAAGCAACATGCATGGCAATTGTAATAAAAAAGTAATTGAGTCAAAACATCCATTCATTTTTGCACACATGAGAACTAAACCTTTGCACTATCCTAATGCACCTCTCAATCATCATCATAGGACGTACTCGATCAGATGCAACAATTCAAGGTCAATGCCAATAACCACAAGATTCTCCTACAAACCGGCCACTTTGATAATGAAAATATTGCTTGGAGCCCTCAAAATTTTCAAATTTGGGCATAAATCAAGCATCAATCACACTCACACAAGCATAAAAATAGACTACCCCCCCCCCCCACACTTAAGCTCGACATTGCCCTCAATGGCGTAAGATAGGGGTAGAACGACGTTACCGCTTTGCTTGGTGAGTGAAAGTTGGAATTGTTTCTAGGGTAGGAGATTTGGAGCTTCAAGGAAAAGACAAAAGACACACACAAACACAATATGACTTGTTCAAGGCGAGGTTATTACACAACACAATACGATAGTAGTAGTAGTTTATAGTCACACACACATAAACGAAAGAAAAATAAAACAAAAGAGTTCAGAGTTCCAAGTGGAGTAGTGGAGCGAATGGAATCGCCTCTGCCACATATCTCCCTAGTCAGCTACCTCACTAGGCCGAACACTCCACCAAACTGGGTCTCAAGGCGATCCATCCTCTGGACGAGGGGATCCCACTAGTCTAGGTGTTGAAGCTGCTGCAGGTGGTGGTATGGGGCACTAGAGCGCGGGACACCAGCGACGGCCGGGTGCTCGAGCAGATGGCTTCTTTGGTGGTGGAACCCCTGCATCTGGCTATCTCACTAGAGCCGGGTCCATCGCTGGATGCATGGCTCCCGAAGGTCGGAGCCCGTTGAGGTACTCGATGCCCCTCTCCTGAAGTACCAGCTACTCGTTATAGAGTGTAACACCTTAGGCAAATCCCACATCGATAAAGCACGGGAGAGATCCATGGTTAGGAAGCCGACCTCAACTGAGAAGACGCGTTTTGGGGGTGTAATGGAGGAGTTCTTGTGAGAACTCCAAAGTTAAACATGTTCAGTGTGGAGTACAACAAGGATGTGTGACCTTATGGGAAGTCACCTTGAATTGCAGCCCAAGTCGAAAACCATGAGGGTCGAGACCCAAAGCGGACAATATCTTCGTCGGAAAATGGTTCGGGATGTTATAAATGGTGTCCACCCTGTTTCGCCCTAAACACCAGGTGAAAGAGGTGGTTATCAGTGATCCCAGATGGATCGGCTCCGCTGGATGCCTCATGGATGTCCCGACCGCAGGCTGGGGACGACCGACCGGGTGAGAAGAGTGTGGAGGATCCTCCTGGGGTCCTCAGCTTCACCGCATTCGTGCGGCTCGCCTCGTACTCCTCTGTCTCGTGCTCGGGGCGGCAGGGGCCCGGAATGCGGCCTGATAATGAAAATTGGTGGTGTACTGCCGATCCGTCATCGTCATATGCGTCGGGTCGAGCCCCATGGCCTGGGCAAAGGCGTCATAGGTCAGCACTCGGGGCTGACCTCCCATCATAAACTCCACGTACGGGCGGCTCCTCTTGTCGCTCAGGACCACATGGGCGAAGGTGGAGTAGAACTCCACGCACAACTCGTGGTAGATCTGCTCGTCCAAGGTGAGCATTCGGCGCCACTGGGGGGTGACAGACGACCCCCGACATTGCGGCTCGGCACCTGAACATGTCCAGGTCCAGCCGCTAGTGTGGCCCGACCGGGCTGTTCCTCTGGTAGACACACACCATACGTGGAAACATTCGTTAAGTACAACTCATTGGGAGGAAAAAGAAATCCCCCCCCCCACTTATCCCCACTATGGATTTCAAACATTTAAGCTCAACCCACCGTGGCATGGTTGTAGTTATTTCAATGTTCATCAACAAGGAATTGAACCCCCAACCTATGCCACGATGGCTACCAACCACCATTCAAACACAATGATGCATATACATTCAACAATTAGCACTTGGTGGGAAATCGAAAAATAAAAGCAACTCGAATCACCAAATGTCCACCAACGCTTAACTAGGGTCATGCAATAACATTTCAACATTCAATCAACCTAATTCGCCTAATTCCTCGCCCTAATTCTAGGTTCAACATTCAAGGCATTAAAAATTATCCTCACTTCTCTACCTAATCCGATTCGCCCAAAATAAACAAGGTAGAGCTAAGAAACCAACCTAGAGACTCAAATAGGACGTAGGAGGAAGTGAGGTGCAGGCGAGGAAGGCGAAAAACGGCTGAAAAATAGACTAGGGAGTGGTCCCCGGAGCTTCGTCGGAGACTCGCCGCCAGTGACTTTGCCGGAAACAACTTGCCCCAAATCTCCCCAAAATTGTAGCACATGCCGGTTTTGATGAGGGGAGAATGGGTATGCAGTTGGTTTTGGGTTTTGATCGCCGGATTTTCAGTCTCCGGCGAGAATTCGAATTTTTCGGTGAGTTTTGGTTCGTGAAGTGAAGAGTCGCCGTTCACGCACCTTTTATAGGCGAAGCACAGCGTTCACGGACGCGTTGGCTTGTTCACGGTCTTAGAGATAGTGAACACTCAAGTCCGTCCGTGAACTGGGGTTGGTCGACAGGTGGTGCACATGCAAAAGTGCCTGGTTCACGGACGCGTTTGCTTGTTGACGGTCTTACAAGACCGTGAACACTCAAATCCGTCCATGAACTCGAGTGAGAACAGGGCCCTTCTGAGAAAATTTTGACTCGACCTATTCCACCGTGCCTCCTAACGATCACAAGACAACCTTAAAACGCAAAACTGATTCAGGCCTAATTGCACATGTTTTGCCCCCGTTTTACTTAGATGTTTGTGCCAAATTCACTCATAAAAGGTTGGTTTTACGCTAGGTTCTTCGTGTTTGAGTGTGTTTCAGGATTTACCAGGTGAAACCAGCCTCAGAGTCGAAAGATTGGCGAAAAGGATCGAAAACCGGGAGAGAGGTGAAAGAGAGCCAATTCACGGCTAACAAAGGGAGTTCACGGTCTTGCATGACCATGAAGAAGAGGATTTGACCGTGAATCGCGAGGCGTCCAAAGCCAAAGTGGAGGTTACTAACGCAAGGTGAGTTCACGGTCACTAAGACCGTGAACAAAGGCAGTTGACCGTGAACAGACGTGAGCAATGCGACACGTTTTGGCGCACGCCTGACGTTCACGGACGCGTTTCATGGTTCATGGCCGTGAACTCAGCTCATCTCTGGTTTAACAGATGAGCTGAAAGGAGGAGAAGGGGGAGAAGAAGGTTAGGGTTTGGCTTCAAGGCAGATTTTTGGAAGATTTCCTCCAAGGAAAGCTCAACTCAAGGGCCAAGAAGATTGGGAGCATCCTCAAAGATGGTTTCCACCCCTTTCACTTTTGTTTTCCCCACTTCTAGCATGGAGTAGACCTCCTTTCACTTTGGTGTAGTGAAACCCTAACTCTACCATCTAGTTTTCTTGTATGTGTTTTGGATGATTGTCATTAGAGCTGTCAAAATGTAACCCGACCCGAGTAACCCGCCCGATCAACCCGACCCGCAACCCGCCCGCAACCCGATTTGACTAAAAGTCAATGACCCGTAACCCGCCCAACCCGCAACCCGACCAACCCGCAACCCGACCGACCCGCAACCCGACCAACCCGCAACCCGATCGACCCGCAACCCGACCAACCCGCAACCCGATCGACCCGCAACCCGATTAACCCGCAACCCCACTAACCCGAACCCATAACCCGACCAACCCGCGGCCCAACTATAATAGAAGGAATTCGATGAAGATAAACTATAAGTTGACATTTGAAATCCTAGTTCACTAAAGTCTTATCATTACATCATTAATTATTAACTTAGTATAATAATATACATCATCAACCTATTAACTCATATAACATCATCAAATATATTGATTTAGATACATCATCAACCTAATAGTCCACATAAGATTATAAAATATTAGTTTAGCATAATAAGATAATTATAAGATTTAAAATCCAAATATCATGGTCCTATCATAAAAAAGACTAATAATAGTTCACAAAAGTCTGATCATAACAAGAATACATGACTCATAATAGTTCATATTGTCTCAAGACCTCAAATATCAATAAAACATGTCCAAACAACAAATTGACATTCCAAATGACGATCACTCTAGAAGCTTTACTTCTTCTCCATCATCCCTCGTATCTTCATCATCGTCATCTGTACAATTAATCAGTGAAAAGAAAATAATAAGGAAAAGAGAATAGTTTGTTCAGTACAAATATAACAATTTGTTTTTTCTTACCCATTTGGTATCCTCGTATCCAATTACGAGTTGTCACAACAGCTTCAAGAGTATCAGACAAAATCGAAGTTCTCCATTTTGTTAATATTCTTCCTCCCAAACTAAAAGAAGACTCTGCAACTTATGTAATTGGAATAGAAAGTACATCCTTTGCCATTTTAGAGAGGTGAGGAAATCGAAATTGATGGTCCTTCCAATATTGCAAGACATCAAAAGGAAGTAGCTTAGAGACTCCATCAATGTCCCCAAATGCAGGTATCAAAGGATCAGCCAAATACAATTGCAACTCAGAACTAGTTGACGTATTGTGGTTGATATTGGATGCATAAAACCCCTACAAACAATAAATATAGATATCATTGATATTAAGTTATTAACACATAAGCATGTTCATCATTTTCTTTACAGTTAGCATGTACATGAATCAAAACAAATAATTAACCAAAGACCAAAACACAATAACATAATTCATAAATGTAGCAACAAACAAATACTTACAGCAGTGTAATTGTCCAAGGGAACGCTTGGAGAAGTCATAGACACACCACTTTGAGTAGCTGAAGTGGCCGATTGATTCTTATATTCTTCCAAAAGCAACTCCAAATCATCCACAACATCCTCGACTTTTGAAACATATTCTCCACCCAACTTTTCATAGAAATAATTCACAAAAGCAACCTTATAACGAGGGTCCAAAATAACCCCAAAAGCAAGCACCAAATTGTAGTCTTTCCAATACTTCAAGAATTTCAACATCATTGCATTTGCCATAGCACGTATATCATCATCTAGACTTGTACAAAGAAGCCTCAACTCAAGATGAATCTTCCAAACATTCTCAAAAAACAGATTACTAGTCGGGTACTTAGTTCCAGAGAATAACTTTGTGATTTCATCAAAAGGCTTCAAGAATTTTATAAGCACTTCTATCTTCTCCCAATCTTCAGATGATGGACATTCATTATACTCGAAATCCATCCTTGCTAAGTTTACAAATGCTTGACGATAATGATTTGCCCTCTCAAGCATATTATAAGTTGAATTCCATCTTGTTGGCACATCCAACCACAAAGACCTTGTTTGTTTCATCCCACTTTGCTCAACACATTCCTTAAACTTAATTTTCCTTCCTTCAGATCCTTCTACATATTTTACACTTTCTCTCACAGATCTAATACCATCTTTTATCACCTTCAATCCAGCTTGGACAATAAGATTCAATATGTGCCCACAACAACGTATATGAAAGAACTTGCCATCACACAACAATCCATTTTGTCCATTCAACTGATCACGTAATTCATTTTGCATGTTAGTCATATTGCTAGCATTATCCAAGGTGATAGAGAAGATCTTGTTATCAATACCCCACTCTCTGAGCATACGATAAATGGTCGTCTTCACTCTATAAGAGGAATGTGGAGGAGGAAGATGAGTAAAGCTCAATAGCTTGCTATTCAGTTTCCATTCATCATCAACATAATGAGACGTCAAGCATATAAATCCTCTAGTTGTCAATGAAGTCCACATATCACTAGTCAAACAAATACGACTAGAAATCTTTTGCAAGCTAGACTTTAACTCCTCCTTCATTCTTTCATGGATCTTCACAATGTCAGATTTATGTGTATTCCTTGAAATAGGTTTAGCCTGACCATTCAAATAGCTATGCACATCTCTATTTCCTTTATGTTCAACACATCTAAAAACATAATCATGTGAAATTGTGCATATAGCTAATTTCTCACGAAAACCTTCCTGAGTTATGCAATTGGGACCAGTAGACTCATTCCTTAAATCTGATGGTTGGTGGAGTTTCTTACATACCGCAATATGTCGCTTCAGAGTAGATGTGCCAAGCCTTGACTCCGCCTTATATATCTTCCCACAAAAGTTGCACTTTCCTTTCTCCAGAAGAACTCCATCGTCATCAACGACATTAAATAGTTCTACATCGTCCCACACTTCCGATGTGCGGCGAGAATTAGCCTTCTTTTTAGGGGGTGAAGAAGGGCTAGAATCAGTAGTACAACCAACACCACTTCCCGCATTATTAGGATCCATGTCTGCAAATTCACCAAAGTGAACAACAAATCAAATGTTAAGGAGTAAACTGGAGAAACAAATATCTCACAAATATATATCATCGAGTGCTGCCCTCTGTTTTCCATACTTTCAATTAATAAAACTGCATTTACAGAAAGCATGTGCAGTGGGTAGGGACTGATGTGTTTGTTTTAAATTTGTGCATGAATTGAATTTAAGGACAAGAGAAACTGGAGGACTAGCCCATGTTTCACTCCATTTGGCGGAGGAGCTCGGTTTTGCCCAGGGGCAGAGTTGGCTCGTCTACAAATTGCACTTACAGCCTACAGGTAAAACTTCCTTCTGACCATGGCAAAGACATTTGCTAGCAACGTAAATGACTAGCATCCCTTTTGGTTTCAAAACACACAGGTGGACTCAGGGAAGATAGGATGTCATTCTTCCCCTCTGCTCGTCTCGTCAACGGCTTCCAGATTCGCTTGAGTCGAAGAAGACAGCAAGAAGAAGAAAGGAATCCATACCTAAACGGCTGAACTATTGAGCTCGCGAGATGGAGATGCGAATCGATGGAGAGAAGCGAATGGCAGCAAGCAAGAAGGAAGTGAGCAGGGATGGCGGCGGTCGGCGGACGGACGCGTGCGCTGCGCCTTTGAGCGTCGACGCCGAACTCGAATCGAGCAGGGATGGCGGCGGTCGGCGGAGAGGATTTTCTGGTCTCTGGGATTTGTTGGACGAGAAGACGAGAAGGGACGGTGGCGGGGAGGTTTCTAGACAATGAAGCTGGTTTGGAAGCGCAGTCGGAGTCGCAAGGGAAAGCTGGTTTCTAGGGTTTTCGTTCGATTTGGGAAAGGTGGAAAGGGAAATCGATTCCCAGTTGGATGGAGAGGAGGACTGCATCTCGCCATTAGCCATAGGATTTACAAAACGGCGTCGTTCCATTAGTCAACAATGATAAAAAAACAAAATTAATAAAAAGGATAAGAAAACATAAAAAAGGGAAACATGAAATTAAGGCTCGTAAGTATAATGGCTTTCAAAGTAACTAATGGATTTAAAAAAAAACAAATGGATTGAAAAAAAAAATAATGAATAAAAAAGCTTGGAAAAAACAAGTTACGGTTAACTATTAAGGTTAGGGTATAAGGTATTAATGGTTTAGACACGATTAGTCAAAACCTCAAAATAATAACTTATAAGTTATAACTAATAACGATCGACTTATAGGGTATATGGTTAGGGTATAAGGTCTTAATGGTTTGACCACGGTTAGTCAAAATCATAATTAATAAGATCAACTTTTCTTATTAACATATGTTCATGAATCAAACCAGTAGGGTTTAGGGTATAGGTTATAGAGTCGACTTGTAGGGTATATGGTTAGAGTATAAGGTATTTATGGTTTGGCCACGATTAGTCAAAATAATAACTAATAAGATCAAGTTTTCTTATTAACATATGTTCATGAATCAAACCAGTAGGGGTTTAGGGTATAGGTTATAGAGTCGACTTGTAGGGTATATGGTTAGAGTATAAGGTATTAATGGTTTGGCCACGATGAGTCAAAATCATAACAGATCAAGTTTTCTTATTAATATATGTTCATGAATCAAACCATTAGGGGTTTAGGGTATATGATATAGAGTCGACGTATAGGGTATATGGTTAGGGTAATGGGTTAGGGTTAATGTATTAAACAAGATTAGTCAAAATCGTAAATAATAAGGATCAAGTTATTTATGAACTCATTTGGGGTTCAGGGTAAAGACTATCTAGAGTTTAGATTATATGTTATCGAGTAAAGTTACAATTGAACTCACAACATTTTTTCCAAATTGCCTCGTTTGCCTGCAAAAAAATTGGATGGATCAATCTGCCTGAGGTATTTTGAATTGATTCGTTTTGAGTCAATTTCAATTTGCTAGGGGTGGGGGCAAATAATTCGAATTGACTCGTTTTATTTACCTCATTTATGAAATGAGACAATTGATCAAATTGACTCATTTCTTGATTGATCCATCCAAACCAACCCTATATTTAAAAGTGGAACCATTGATAATCACTAATCTCATTTTTGTCTTTCGGAGTGGCGGGCCTTTTAACTTTTCAGCCTAAATTTTGAACTTCCCATTTAGCTTTTGGATTGGCGGCCATTTTCAATTTTTGCACCCTAAATTTTGAACTTCCCATCTAGTCATCTACCTGCTTGCCGCTTGCTTGCCACTCCATAAATGGAAAGTTAAACTTGACAGCTATTAAGCTATACATTTTTTTTAGTTAATCATTTTAATCACTTAACTCATATAATTTGATTTTGTAAATATCAATTCAAACCCATCCAAATAATTTAAAACCCTAATAGTTTGCTTAAGATCGGAATATGGCAGCGAAAATCCTACCTAAACCTCCTCTTTTTTTTAGTGGTAAAACCCGCAACCCGAACCGTCCGACCCGCAACACGATTGACCCGCACCCGGTTGACCCGTAACCCGATTGGCCCGCAACCCGATTGACCCGAAGCCCGATTGACCCGCAACCCGATCAACCCGCAACCCGACCAACCCGCAACCCGAATGAACCCAACCCGAACACGCCCGAACCCGCCCGATTGACACCTCTAATTGTCATTGGGTATTGTTCAATTCAATGATTGAGGTGTTATTTATCATGATTGTGCATGCTTGTGGTTAACAACCTAGGGGTTGTGCATGTTTTGTGCTTAGCATCCTTAGGTTTGTGCATGTAGGTGCTAGTAATCTAATTAGCCGCCTTAGCCTAGTTTAGAGAGGAAAATCCCCCTTTCAAGAGAGACTCAATCGAGTTGGTTTTCCTTCCATTTTCTAAGCCACCTAAACTAGGTAAATTTAGGGCAACCCTCAATGTTGAGTTAAGCAAGTCAATTAATCGTGATTAAGCCGTCCGACCTTAGAGTTGAGTGAGGGAGTAAGTCAACTACCGATTTTCTAAACCGAGAGGGTCGAGTGACACGACCTTTCATCCTTACCTTGGTTTAGCAATTGAGATTGTGGTCTCCGAACACATATGCATCCATCTACAGTTCGCGATTATCGTGCCCAAAGCAATCATTCCAATTCACATAGCATGGTAGCGGCTACGGGGAAGCGACACCCGAGTGACATTCCCACAAAAGAGTTTCCAAACCCAATCACCATTGCTTTCTTTTATTTCAATTATAAAACTTTTAAACCAAAATTTAGTTACTAGATAATGATTTCAACAATTGAAGTAGCGGTAGACG